ATCCGATGATGCATGGTCTAATATCGAGAAACAGCGGTTGGACACCGGAGGCTTGAGCAGAGATAGTTTTCCGGAGGGTTTTGTGTTCGGGACGGCCGCATCGGCATATCAAGTTGAAGGAATGGCTAGCAAAGAGGGTAGAGGACCTAGTATATGGGATGTCTTTGTCAAAGTTCCAGGTTAAATGTTAAATGAAATGATTGTTTAACCTGTTCCTTCTTTTTTTTTTTTTGGTTTTTAATTTGAATAAGATTTTAAATGCTAATGCTAAAAGAAGAGATGTGATATATGCAACAGGAAATATTGTAAAAAATGCTACAGGTGAAGTTTCTGTGGATCAGTATCATCGTTATAAGGTATGGCTTTTCCCTTTTCACCAATGCTAGCTAGCACTTTTAACTTTTACCTTGTAAGAAAAGCCAAGCAATCAGATCTGCCTAGGTATATGTACTGTCACCATGTTATATCAGCCTCATTCTCTGCATCACATGAGAGTTGGGATAACTCAAAGATTCCAAGACCGTTTTTTCACTCTTCCTGTTTGCAGGAAGATGTTGATCTGATGCATAAGTTGAACTTCGATGCCTACCGATTTTCGATCTCATGGTCCAGAATTTTTCCAAGTACATACACCATCTACCATGTCTATATCAACCTTCCATTAAATTGACAACATTTGGTATACACATTCCAATTTTTGACTAATTGTTGCTCATATTTATTCGTTTATGTAGATGGGAAAGGAAAGGTAAACTGGAAGGGAGTTGCCTACTACAATAGATTGATCAACTCCATGCTTGAGAAAGGTATATTAATTTCAATACTATGTATAGACTATTGGTTGAGCATAACAGGAATTTATGTGTCTACAATTACGTTAGACTCCAAGGTTTTGTAATCTATCTGTAGTTTTGTAAACTGGATCAAATGTTACCTCTTCCTCTCTATATGTAGGAATTACTCCATATGCGAATTTGTACCACTACGATCTCCCACTTGCACTTCAAGAGAAATATGGAGGTTTGCTGGGTGACCAAGTTGTGTAAGTGGAGAGACAAACTCTTTTTGTTAATTGAAAGTGGCCATCACTTCAGAAAATTGTCTAAACTGTAAAATAAGTTTACAATGGTTTGAAAAGCCGTTTGAATCTTGCAGGAAAGATTTTGCTGATTATGCAGATTTCTGTTTCAAGACATTTGGTGATAGAGTAAAGAATTGGATGACATTCAATGAACCAAGGGTGGTGGCTGCTCTTGGATTTGACAATGGGATCAATCCTCCTAACAGATGTTCAAAGCCATTTGGAAATTGTACTGCTGGAAACTCTGCAACCGAGCCTTATATTGCAGCACATAATTTGATCTTAAGCCATGCTGAAGCCGCTAAAAGATACCGCGAAAAATATCAGGTAGTGATCATTTTGAAGTTCTCAATTAATTGGTTCTCTTGTCTATTTGTTCTTTGAAAATTTAATGCTTATCAGAATGATTTTCATTTGCTTCTTTCAGCCTAAACAGAAGGGAAGAATTGGAATCCTCTTGGACTTTGTTTGGTATGAACCTCTAACAAGAGGAAAGGCTGACAACTATGCAGCACAGAGAGCAAGAGACTTTCATGTTGGATGGTAAAATTCCTGAATACTTACTAAGAAATGCAACCTGTCTATATGTTTTTCTTGTCTTGTGAAGATTCAAACAGGACTCATGATAAAAGTAAAATAAATGAAACATTAAGACATCCAGAGCCCCAAAATAGACCTGCCTACTAATCTAAGGAGGGAATGTTTTTGTGAATTCTATTTTGCAGGTTCCTGCACCCCCTTGTATATGGAGAATATCCAAGAACAATGCAAGAAATTGTGGGAGAAAGGCTTCCAAAGTTCAGCAAAAGTGATGTCAAGACTGTGAAAAACTCCTTTGATTTTATTGGAATCAACCAATACACTTCTTACTACATGTATGATCCGCATCAGCCTAAGCCCAATGTGACTGGTTACCAACAGGATTGGAATGTTGGGTTTGCCTGTAAGTCCCCTGATCATCCCTTCCTATCTCTTTGACCCAAAATATGGAACTACTTACCCGTTCGTGTTTGCAATTTACAGATGAACGTACGAAAGACCCAATCGGTCGTCGGGTAAATCCTTTGCCACTCTTGCAATCATCATTGACTTTGCCAAATTCTTTTAAAATTTGACCTGCAATATTAATGCACCAAAACAAATTGCAGGCTTACTCCCAATGGCTGTACGAAGTTCCATGGGGTATGTACAAAGCTGTAACCTATATAAAAGAGCGTTATGGAAACCCCAATGTAATTCTAGCAGAAAATGGTAAGGCTGCAAAGACTGTACCAGCTTGAAAAGCTTTTGTTAATTAATTAAGCAAGGTTTGAATCTGATTTTAATTTGCTGATCAATGGCAGGAATGGATGACCCTGGCAATGTCACGTTTCCTGACGCATTGTATGATAGAGAGAGAGTAAATTATTATAGAAGCTACTTAAAGGAATTGAAGAGAGCTATGGATGATGGAGCCAATGTCACTGGCTACTTTGCTTGGTCATTGCTGGACAACTTTGAATGGCTTTTGGGGTATAGCTCTAGATTTGGCATAGTTTACGTTGATTTCAAAACTCTCAAGAGGTACCCAAAGATGTCAGCTTATTGGTTCAAACAAATGCTTGAGAGAAAGAAGCACTAGGATACACATATATAAGGTTATCTTGTTAGGTTTTTCAGGTCTTCTTCCATCTTCTTAATGCTTCTGTCTTTTATCTTTTTCTATATCTTTATCTAAAACAATTAATATCTTTTAGAGTTTCTGTAATATATAACATTATTTTGTGAGCCACGTTTTAATTTTGTGGAATTCCTTATTAATTGGTTAGATTAATTTTATACTTATATCTAACATCTTTAAGAGAAATATTTATGAGGAAATAGTATTCTCAAAACATAAAAACAAATAGTGTTCAAGAATCACTGTTTTATGACTTACTTCGTTCATAATTTAAGGTGCTTATTCCACATTCAAAATAAAAATAAAGGGAAGCTATAAAATTTTAAATAATGTAAATTATCCTTGGTCAAAATGTATAAAAATGTAAATTATTATTGATTTTTTCCACAATTAATATTTGGAGAATCGGAATATAAATTTGTAAGATTGATGACAGATAAAGGATATACATCATTTTAATTTAATGTTCAAATGATGAACTCATGCAAGTCAATTTTCACTAAAAAAAAAAAAGAAAAACAAACCAAATTCAAGAGGAAATTAAAAATAAAAATGAGTTAGAATGCTGAAGACTACCAAATAAAATATGTATTTCTACCGTTACAAACCTAATGAGTAGTTGTACAATATCTCTAAAATATGAATTGAATTCTCTAAAAATTAAAAAAATATTACATCATTCTTAATTACACAAATTAAGACTCTATTTGATTGATTCATTTATGCTTCAAAATTTTTATTTTTACAAATGATGAAATAAAAAGAAAAAAATTCAAAACAAAAAAAAAGTCAAAAAATAAATTATTCATCTAATCACTTAATTTTAAAATATTTTTGTTCTAGTTACTCAATTTTAAATAAAAACACTTTTAATAAAAATTAATCATTTAAAAATCTTGATTTAAATTTATAAAAATGAATGTAAAAAATTATAAAATTAAAATAAATATTATTAAAATATTATCATATATTTTAATAAAAAAACGATTCTAATTTTTGTGGCTTCAACTCAGGTGAACTCCCACAAACTCTCCCTAGGGAGTGACTCATCAAATGTGATTAAATGGGTGTGTAAATCAAATGAGGTTCCATAAAAAAATGAGAAAAGAAATTATACAAATTCACCAACTATCGGCAAAGGTGAAGGCGTGAGCGATAGTACTATGCAGCGGTCGATTGTAACCAGGCAACCGACCGCAACCGTCGATTATTGTAACTTATGGTTACAATCGACGATTGTTATTGCAATCATCGATTGTTTTGATTGATCTTGTCAGGCGATCGGTTCGGTCATTGAGAAGATTATTTTTCTCAAATCGACCGAATAATCGACAATTAATTTTTTTTTTAAAAATAAAAAGATAAAAGTACCATTCATTAACCTCTTAAAATAGCATTTCTGTTTTATACAGTTGTAATTGTTTCCCCTTTCTCCAAACTTGATTTCGCCCCCTTTTCGCCTCTCCCTAACTCCTTCTCATACTAAACCTTAAACCAGCAGCCACCAAATCAAGTGAGTTCTCTTTCATTCTTCAATTGGTCATTATCAGTCCAAAATCAATCGAATCGAAATTTTTAAAAATCAATTAAAATTGATTATACATCTTATATGATTTGGTCAATTAAAATTTTAAAATTTTTTTATTAATTTTATCAAAAACCGAACCAAAAATTGACCCAACCGACATTTGTTCACTCCTAGTTGGGAGATCTGTCATACTCCACATTCTGCTAACGGAAAGGTTCTGCCTCAGCCAAAGGAGGGATAACAAGATTACAAAACTCGTTATGCGTCAACAGGCAAGGGGTTCAACAAAATGGTACAGAAGGGGAACTCAGGCTTGGTATCACACGGGTCGATTAGATGAGTGAATCAAAGGGGAATACGATATCTGCAACACTGGTAACTCTGCATTTATTTTTTGCTCAATGCAAAGCGCTACTGGTTTGCAAGAACCTGTTTTGTATATCCCACTAATTAATAAAAGTTACTACTTTTCAAAAATATATATATTTTAAAAAATTAACCATTTACAAATATTATAATAAAGAGTACTTATAATGGAAGTTATCTCAAAATCTTAACATTAATGTTGACTTCGGAGACGATCTTTAAATATTAATATTCTTTATTATTGAATAATTATAGTATTAATATTAAATGTTATTATATTTTTTTATTTTTAAATTATAATATATTGAAATATCTAATAATAATGAGTTTAACCAAATTCCTTTGACATAATGTTAATATTAAAGGACACAGGCTTAGACAGGGTCAGGGAAATTAAAGTATCGGAAACGATGCGAAATCAAGAAGCGAAATAAGAGAGATAAGCCAATTGAAGAAACAAAAAATAGCAGGAAAAAGCACCTCCGCCGCTAAGGCAGACTCTCCACTTCAGAGCCTGAGGGGCGAGAAAAGGAGACGAGTAAATAACTGAGGGTTAAGGTTTTTTTTTTTTTTGACGTGGATCGAGCAATTAATCAACAATAAATGGGGAATTTATTGGTGAAGAAACCCAAGATCACCGAAGTCGATCGAGCAATTCTCTCCCTCAAGACTCAGAGGCGCAAGCTTGGTCAATACCAACAACAGGTTTCTCTCTGTTTTTTCTCTTCTCATTTATTTCTTTGCAATTAAATTTTACCGTGTTGGGTTTTTTTTTTTGGTTGAATTTCTGTAATTTTACCTTTAGCTTCATTCTTTCTTTTTTTTTTTAATTTCTCCTCTCGGTTAGCTTGAGGCTGTTATAGAAGCTGAAAAGCAAGCTGCTAGAGACTTGATTCGTGAAAAGAGAAAGGATAGAGCTTTGTTAGCATTGAAGAAGAAGAAAGCCCAGGAAGAATTATTGAAGCAAGTTGACACGTGGCTTATTAATGTCGAGCAACAAGTAAGTGAAACTGAATTCTTGTAGTATATTTGATAATTGATTTGTTTTCTGAAAATGTAGCTACCTTATTTAAATTCTTTCAATCAATCTCGCACTGTTTAATGTTATTTTTTTTATTAATAAAAAGTATAATAATTTGATCAGATATCCACTCGATCTTTTACAATGTCTTTATTTTATAGCCGGCACCAACATATGGCTCTGTTGTGTTACCTTGCTTTTGGGTTTTTGTATTACTGTTAAAAAAATGCTGTAGATAGATTAAAACACAGATTTTTGTTTCAGTTGGCTGATATTGAACTAGCAAGCAAGCAAAAAGCAGTTTTTGAGAGTTTGAAATCAGGTAACAATGCAATTAAGGCAATACAAAGTGAGATCAACCTAGAGGATGTCCAAAAGTTAATGGATGACACCGAAGAGGCTAAGGCTTATCAAGATGTAAGTGTCATTTCAATTCTTACTTGTCTCGATTCCATTTAAGTCATAATGGGCTTTGCTCTTTTGCTTGATTCCTCCCTCTAAAATGACATATGTTCCTTGACGTAGATGTCTCTTGTTTGTTCTCTGTCCCACTCTCTTCTTTCTTATTCTTTGCTTGTCTGCAAGTATTTGTGTGCTTTACTTAAAGCTGTTTATCATGCCATCAACTAGTTGCATATAAATCAGGGCATGCCAAGCTAGCTTTGGGGTTTTGAAGTCTTGAAAACAGAGAAATTTAGACTTGCATTGCCATGTTGTCACTGAGATGCAGTATTCAAGTCTGCACTGGGTTGCATTACGTATATCTGTCATTTTCAAAATGCTGTTTGTCAAATTTTTTCTCTTAGATATGTTTTGGTTTAATATTTTAAATGATATCCTTCTAAATATCTGTGAATGACATTGGTAATCTGAAAAGCCTATAAACATGTAATGCTTCGGCTTGTTAAACAATTATGCTATAAATGGAGAAGCCATGTGTTATCCTGTTTTGTAAGAATCACTTATATTTTCCTTTTTCTGTGATTATTTTATCAATCGGTTTTTTTGTTATCCATCGAAAGGTATTGCGTTTGTTAATTTATAACTTGGGCATTTCCTCTTCATAAGGGCTTGCAGCTTCTTCTCTATTCATTTTTTTTTTTCTAAAAAGAGCTGCCATATTTGTGATTTTGAAGGAAATCAATGCAATACTTGGAGAGAAATTATCAGCAGAAGATGAAGAGGAGATTTTGGCAGAATTTGAGAACTTGGAAACTCAGGTATTTGTTTCAGTTATAAGTGGTATAAAATTGCATTTGAATCAGTAACAATTAGGTGGTGCTCACAGAAGATCTTAATTTTTACAATTAATTAAACAAAACTTATAGGAGTATTAATTCATGAATTTTTCCACAAATATGCAAAAAATGGCCCTAGGCCTTGTAATACTAAAATCCTTTAGATCTAGTAGTTAAAAGTCACTTTAGTCATTTTATAAGAAATGTATAAATTAACACTAAAACTTTTATGACTTGCAACAGTTACCTAACTTATTTTTCCATTTTCCTCTCCAATGCTTTTACCCTCTTTGATGTGGGAAGGAAACTAGACAAACATAAGAGAAATTAGAGATGGAGGAATAGAGGTGAAATACACCAAAAGGTTGGTCTTCTGGTTTCCAGTGCCGGGAAATAGAAAGAACAATCTGTTCTGATCATAGATCCTAAAGTGAAAGTAGTCATTAAAAGTAATACTAGTATTCAAGTAGCAAAAGACCTTAGAAGTAAATATCCTAGCCTTTGAAATTAGTCTAAGTTCAACCATGGTATACAACTTAAAGAAAATACACAGAAAAGACATAAATCCCCCTTAACAGAACCTACTTATTTGAAAAATAGAACGAACAATGTTGTGCTACATTACTTCTACAATAGCACGACCTACGCACACACATGTATTTATGTAGCACATACAATTTGTACTACCGCATCACGTCTGAGGTGAAAAAAACTCAGCTGCAACAATACCTTTTTAGACTAAACCTCTAGTAATTAAATTTTTAGCTTGCCTGCACATTTCTGCTTTATTTGCTGCTGGCATCCAGAAGTGGCTAGATTGGAAAAAGCTGCTCTGGGTATTAAATAAATAGAATGTCTTATACCCTTCATTGGTGGCAACGTGTTTGACAATTCTTCACTTACTACATTCTCAAAATCATCAAGCAACTTTTTAATTTTCAATTGATGAGCATATTTATCAGCCTGTACAATTCTTCCAAACTACACATGAATAATAACTAATTCCTTTCATGGATGCCATGTGAGCTCGTAATTGTCCCTCTGAGGAGTTATTATTATGGCCAATGCATCCTTGTTGATAAAAATCATGCCAGACCTCATCTTTGTAGACATTACCTATATTAAATTGCTGTAAATGTTTTGAAGCAATAAGAATTTCATCATCATCTTTTGAGTCCATGAAATCTTGCAAGGATGGGGATGTTTCTCCACTTCAATTTTTACGGACTACGTTTGCAACACTATCATTTTGAAAAAATGCTGTCTTAAACCTTGGGGCTAGTTAAGATTCACTACACAACTAGACCTTAACCTTTAATAGATAACAAATCAATTTCTTCTTTTAGAGCTTTATCATGTTTGTCAGGTGAATTCCAAAAAGTGATCTTCTTTACTTTTAGCCTCTAGTGAGTGTACATGACTAGACATTACAAAAGCTTGTCCAACTTGAACGGCTTGTCCACCGATCTCTAATCCAATTTGACCAAACTTGAATTTATTGACGAAGTTAATGCCCCAAACATTACAGTGACCCTATTGATGGAGGATGGACAGAAGCATTTGAAGGATTGAATTTTCTATGCCTTTATTTTGTTATTTGTTATATTTTATTAAGTTAATTGTAATTTTTATAGTAGTTAGGATATTTTAGAATGTTTTGGTTATTCTATATTAACTAGTATAAAAGGGATTGCCAATGCTGTCTTTAGGGGCTGTGGACATCTGTGATATGTAGCTTCTTTATTCTCATTTTTGTGCCACTAATAAATAAAGAGTAGGATGCCTTTTGCTTTATATAAATTTTTCTCTTTCCCTGGAGCCCATTTGAGTTTTGTTTATATCATGATAGTTTTATGAGTATTGCTCATAGATAAATTTAGTATGAGATTATATGTTGAACCATGAGACCTTATGTCTTTGGTTATGTTAAGCTTGGCTTATTTCTTCCTTTTGATTTGATTATTTATGTAAAAGAAGGGAATTATAAGCATGTAAACGCCATTTGTTTAATGCGTCCTTTGGGATTTAATTTTGTTTCATAGCATATGACACTGTTCCCTCAACCATCTTTCTGAATGCCAAACTGTATCTTTGGTTTAGATGGCTGTTCAAGGTATGCCGGAAGTGCCTACCACAGCACCATCTGAAGAACAAAATTTGGATCTTCCTAATGTGCCAACCAAGAAACCAGTTACTTCCAATGCAGCTAGAGATGATGATGAAATTGCTTCAGCTGAAGTTTCCACCAAAAGAAGAGGTTTCTCCCTCTCTCTCTCTTTTTTTCTACACATATATGCACAGACACAAGCATTCGCTTTCACTCTCTCACACGCAACCACTCACATTCACTCCCAAATTGCCCATGCTTTCACACACATCACACATGCATTCACTCCCTGCTTGATTGAGACTTTCAAACCCCTGACAGTTTTTGAAAATGCAGTTATGGAGGAACCATTGCCTGCATGATTGAGAAAACGATGTGGCTGTTTCATGAGCAGCCTGCCACTATTAAGGAACATCTCCCAGCTGCCTCATTCACTTCTTTTCATTTGTTTCTTTCTATAATTGTCTATGTGATGGGTTGAGTTTGGTGGTAAATTGTTTCCATGTCAGTTTGTACAGATCTGTATAAATACCTGTTTGATCATATAATGAGTATTGAAATTGCTTATTTTCTGCCCATGTAAATCTTTAGTGTAGCACTCGCCGTGAGTCCTGCTCTTGGATGGCACATTAATTTCTTGGATGCACTGAATGTGCTTCATCTATCTGGATAACGTTTGAACTGTTAAGCTACTGTAAATGCCACATTGCATCGTTCATGCTCTTGGTAAAAGCGTGGAAAGTGGACGCCCTATCACAGGGAACTCCTTGCTGACTAGAATTTCTCATTTCTGGATGCTGTTAACAGCATTGTCCTGTTCATATATTGTCAATGAGTAGTGAGTATAATTCTGATGTAATAATTGCTCATAATTACATCCATTCTTTGGTGCTATTCTGCATAGTTATTCATTTACAAAATGAATCCTGGAATTTAATAATGTATGAAAGATCAAATACGGGTTGGGGTCAGGTATTCGATCCTCGACTTTCAAAATTAAAACCGGGTCGGTTTGGGCATGCCTTGAGGGCCGGGTCGGTTGTTGCCAGTTCTGTCATTACTTACTAGCCATTTGTCAAATTTAATAGCAGACGCGCTACAATTCCTCGAACGTAAATAGTGGGAATTATTTGGTGGTTAACAGTCATTTTCTTCCAACATGCACGTTTAAAAGGAATAATGGCACTAACAATAGACAGGATATTAGCTTGCCTCCAATCAAGTGTTCGTCGGATTATCAAATATTACCATGCTTCTTCATAAATAATAATGCTTCATGACTTGGTCTTTTCTTTTCTTTTTTTACCAAATACAACAATAAATGTTAGGTATTATCCCAGTTATATGTTAGGCATTTGTAGATTTTTTTTCAATTATCATAATTAATACAAAAATTTTAAAGAATACATATAAAATGTTTTTATTATTGAATTAAAATATTCAGATGTAACTTGCAGGGTTAGTAATTTTCCAATGTGTAGAAATGGACAGATTTGGGGATTGTTGCAAGGTTAGGACTTTTTTGGAACACCTTGGGTTTAGTCAAAGTAAAGTTAAGACTGCTACCCATAAAAAAATAATTTAAAATTTTTTAAATGGATAAGATTATGTTTTGGATGAATTCTAACGAGTAATTTCCATTTTTCTCATTTATTGAATTTGAGTTTAATTTATCAAAGTTTGTATGTAATATATATTATATATATATATATATAAATTTTAATTACAGCAGGAAAGAGAAATGAAATCAATATCATGTTTCAATTCAAATGGGCAATTTTGCTGCTGTCACACACATATAATATCAAATATTGGCAACGTGGTGGCATTTGCAGCCAATAATCATTATGCCCTTGACCCAAACTTACGTATGCTTTGATCAAGAAATTCAGCTCTTAGAAACTTTCAAACATTAAGTTGCTCTAAATATAGGGAAGTTGAGCTTAGAAATTATCGATCCTTACATAACATTCAAACATGTAACGACAAAATCAAGAAGTTGACTGGTGATGACGATCATTTTTGTTTTTTAATTTTATTATTATATATAAAATTCAATATCTATGTATAATATGATTATTTAATTTCATAATCACTGAGGAAATTCTATTTAATTTTTGGTGAAAAAATTTAAAATTTACCTTTTAATTTTCTATCTTCCCACGGAAAAGGCACCAAGCGTGTATAGCATGGTCCACCAGCCAATGAGTATTTATAGATATTCCGCAGAGTCAACAATAATTGGACTTTGAACAGTGCGAGAATATTGTGGGAGTGTTTTTGGCACATTTAGGGGGCTTCGGCTTCTACTTTAAGCTCAAAAATTCAATATTGGTTGGCTGAACGGCGACGGGCCAGCAGAGCTTCAGGTTCAGAGTAGTACCCCCAATGATAATACCCGAGTTGAACTAGCCTTATTCCTTCTCTCCAGTCTCCCCATTTATTCTTCTCATTTCTCGTTTTTGTCCTGCTCTCAGCTCACTCATCATTCAATTTCTTGATGACCGAAAAAAAAAATGCAAAAGGTGCTATCAACTTTTGATTTTTAAGTAGTGGCGACGACTTGAGAACTCAACCTAGTCAAACGTTTTATCATCCATCTCCTTACTGTGAGCAGCTCAGCCATCTTTTTCTTTTTATCTAACTTACGTTATAGGTGCAAAGAATACGACATTCTTTAGGGGGGAAAAGAAAAACCAACCAACCCCAATTTAATTTGGGGAAGTTTATGAAAACCCAATTCAATTCCCTTCTCCAGCTTGTTCGGCCAATAATTGTAGAGTAAGGAGAAATCACAAACCCATTCTTATTGAAGGCCTGATTTGATGCAGAAAAAATTTGGGGGTGTGTTGGGTAACATGATTGCTCTGAATTCTGATTTTGTTGTTAATTTTTCTGCTAATTGTTTGTTATTTATTTATTTATAGATTCAGAAGTATTGTTTTTTTCCATGTATAATCATTTGTAGCTCAGTTTGGAAAAATTCTTGATAATCCAAGCGCAAAAGTGAGATACTACTATGTTACCTGAAACTTGTGGTTCTAGCTTGTTTCTTGCTTTACCTGATGATGTATTTGCCATTATATCTCGGTCCCTTTTGCCAAGGGACATATGTAATCTCGGTGTATGTTGCAAAAGTCTATGTGCCCTTGTAGCCTCTGAAAAGATTTGGCTCAGTCAATGTGATGTAGTTGGGATTGTGCCCACAAGGGACCTTGTGGATTGGAGGGAAGGTGTATCATCATATAAGGCGCTTTGTCGCTTCCTTGTTAGCGTAAAGCCATTAATTGGGATTTGGGTTCACCAGAATCCTGAGCTTGGCAATGTAGTCTATGTAATGCCTGGTTTTGTTTCTGTTGTTGGATGTCGAATAATTCCACAAGAGCTTGGTCCCTTAGGAATTGAGGATGGCCCCATTCTATGGGCACCGGTGTTTGAAATTATTGGGGATTTTGATGGTTCCACCACATTTTTTCTGCATGGTAGGGAGAAAGGATGTGACTTTTTTTATCCTGGTTCAGTGAAATCTGTTGATAGGAATTGCAATGTGTTATTGCTTGAGGTTGAGCCTAGGGAAAAGAGGAATGGATGTAAGTTGTTCCCTAGTCAGAGCGTTGTTCATCATTCCAATGAGGAGATTTCAAGAAAGGTTAGTAGATCAAATAGTGGTTTATCAAGGTCACAGAGGGTGTTAGGACAGAGTGGGACCACGGTTCCTTTTGTCCGGTTGGCTTTTGTTGACAGAAGAAAGTTGCTTGAGGCTGTCACCAGCCGAGTTCGTCAAAAAGTTCCTCATACTGTCAGTGGGCCACTATTTTCTCGATTGAGGGACGATGTGGAGAATTTCCAAAATGATCTGGTGGCTTTGTTGCAACGAAGATCACTGCTTCTGCAAATGTATAGGTCTGGTTGTGATCATGATTGCACAGATTTGACGGCAAGTGCTGAGATGCCTGCCGATCCTACTCTGTTGGAACCCAATGACATCAGAAAGAGCCTGGACCGTTCTAGTTCTTGTTCTAATTCATTGAACAGTGATGATGGTCAGATGCACGGCAACAATAGGAGAAGTATAGGTGGGTACTTCAGAGCTAGCATTAAACAAATTCTTCGGAAGTCCAGTTCTGTCAATGGTGGTCGAGCAATTTCAAAATGTAATTCTTCTAGCAGCGAGAATAGGCATGCTCAACTTCATGAATTTCTTAACTCAGGGGATACTATAGGGCTGGCATTACATGCCTGTACAGTGAGGTTATCATCTTATCGAGCTTGGCCAAATATGCATGATACACGGTTTGCTCTTTACAAACTGCCCATGCGGGTACCAAGGGAAGATCAAGAGTATGCTGGTTTATGGGGAGGAACATTTGGTTGGCCTCCTGGGAGGCCTACTGAAGACAAGCCTGGAAAAGCTCTGTTCTTTCTTTTGCTCTCCTATGAAGAGACAGAGGGAAAACGGCTTCTCATTGCAACTAAAATATTGGAAGGCACCCACTATGTTCTGCACCCAAATGGTTCTGCAATGTTCATAGTGAATGTTGATGAGCCTTCACTGGATCCATTTCCCTGGGATAATGATGCAGATTCACATCCTGTGAATGTGAAGTATGCTTTTATGGGAGAGGGTATTGCAAATGGATATGGTTTTAGATATCCTGGCTCAAAGCCTGGCTCACTTTTTATTGTTCAAAATGGTCTTCTTGCCTTCATTTGGAAGGAATCAAGGGCTGTCTTGACACTGCAAAGGCTCAACTTGCAAGAGCTTTTGAAGAAAGGTGAACGGGTCCCTGCTCTACCTCCAATTGCCAACTTTTCATATTTGACCAAGTCCTATTCAAATGTGTTTGCTGGATTCTCAAACACCTCAACATGTTCATCGTCTCAACATGTTCATCGTCAGTAAGGTTTGTGTTATGTCCTCTAGAGGAATGTTTTAATTGCTCTTTATTTACCCCTCTTAGATATTTAATGTTGCCATGTGTTTACTTTATTTATCACAGTCATGCTATACTTGATGCATCAACTAGGAAATTCATTTTTGGTTTTTTGGCCTGACAATAACAACAATATGTAGCGAGTGTTTTTTTTTGGTGGGGTGAGGGGTGGGGTGAGTGGGAGGGCTAAATAAGCAACTCAACTAACATTGTCTTATGTAAATACCATAAGTTTCCAGATGCTATTTACTTTTCAATAATTGCTATCAGTTTTTCAATTGCATGCCTACAATTGTTTCCAGTTTTTCTCACTTTCTGAGTATATCAAAATAATTGTGGTGTGCTGAACTAGGCCCTTTTAGAGTATGTCTTGTTTGTATGGAGAAATATAATCAATTAATTGACTAATGAGGTGCTAGTGAACTGTTCAGTTGATAACCAATATGATCATGCTATTTATATAGTTGTAACTCCTTGCCAAAGCCTAGACTTTCTCTTGATTTGTGTATCATATGATTTGCATTGTTGTTTTACCATGTTTTGACTAAATTTCTTCTTAGGACTTAAGTGGATTAAGTATGGCTTCATAGGTAGTTTATGAATATAACCTGGCTTTTTCTTTGGAAATTTTTG